TTTTTTTTTTTTTTTTTAACTGAGGATCCAACTCAGGACTTTGTGCTTATGAGGCAGGCTCAGCATTACTGAGCTACATCCTGGCCCTTTACTATAGATAGATAGATAGATAGATAGATAGATAGATAGATATTTTGGCGGGGGTGCAGTTGAGGCAGGGTCTACCTTTGTAGTTCAGGCTGGCCCTAATCTTAATATGTAGCCCATGCTGGCCTGGAACACACAGTGATCCTCCTGTCTCAGCCTCCTGAGTGCTGGGATTATAGGTGTGCGCCACAACGCCTGGCTACTTTATATTTTTTTGTTTGTTTATTTTTTTGGTACCAGGGTTCAAACTTGGGACCTTGCACAAGGCAGGCACCGGAACCACTGAGCTAAATCCCCAGCCCAACTACTTTATATTTTTGAGAGAAGAACTTGCCAAGGCAGGCCTCGAACTTGTGATCTTCCTGCCTCCACCTCCCAAGTAGCTGAGATTATCAGAATATACTACATCTGACTTTGGTTCCTTCTAGTTTCAAATAATTTTCTAGGGGTGGAGAAGTTGCTCAGTGGTAGAGGGCATGCTCAATATGTGAAGCGGCCCAAGCTTCAATCTCTGGTCGTAAAAAACAAAACAAAACAAAATCACTATAAGTTACTGAAATATATAAGACATTCCTTTTTTGCTGATGCTGGAGATCGAATCCAGGGCATTGTGCAGGGTAGGCAAGCACTGAGCAATACTCCAGCACATCCTTCTTTGCTGTCTCAAACTTTCAGGAAAAAACACAATTATCCCTTCAAGTTAAACCAACTTTTCCATATAACAGAGATACTTTAAAATTCTAGACCAGCACTGTTTGTTTTTTTGGTTTGCTGAGACAGGGTCTCACTATGTAGCTCGGGTTGGCCTTAAACTCACTATGTAGCCAAGGCTGGCCTCAAGCTCATATCAATCCTCTTTCCTCAGCCTCCCAAGTACTGGGATTACAGGCATACACCACCACACCCAGCTAGACCAGCATTGTGAAATAAAATTTCCTACAATATTGGAAAATTCCATATCTACACTACCACAGTGGACATTATACATATTTGAAATGTATGTATCAATACACATTTCAGGAACTGAGTTTTAATTTTAACTTTAATACAAAACTTAGAGCTAATATGAAATACTACTTTGGCCTGTGCTTGCTCCAGTGGCACATATACTAAAATTGAAATGACACAGAGGAAATTAGCACAACTTGCAAATTTCTGTATTTTTATTTTGTTTTTTGTTTTTCTGCGAGGCAGGCAGTGGAACCACTAAGCTAAATCCCTGGCCCCAAATTTCTGTATTTTAAAAAAATATATTGTGGGCCAGAGGTTTAGCTCAGTCGTGCTAGCACCTGCCTAGAAAGCACAAGGTCCCAGGTTCGATCCCCAGTTCTGCCAAAATAAATAAATAAATAAATAGTCCCCCTAAATCAAGACACGGTGGAGAATATTTCTCTGGCTACTTCTTTTGATATTATACTAGATATAATAGCCACGAAAAAAGAAAAGTAAAATGCAGTAAGTTTTTAAAAATAAGCAGTGGTAGAAAAGGACTAAAATTGATGGAGTAAAGGGGCTGGGGATTTAGCTCAGTGGTGCGGCCACCTCCCTCAAACGTGCAAGGTTCCGAGTTCGATTCCTGGTAACAAAAAAAAAAGAAAAGAAAAAAGAAAAAATTGGTGAAGTAAAGACCAGCAGAAAATACAGCCTCTCTGGGACCTGGAATCAAAATACCCAGAAAACAACGAACTGGTTAAGAATAAAAGAAGTACCTGGTACCAAAAAAAAAAAAAAAAAAGAATAAAAGAAGTAGATCTCTGGGAATCAGGAGAGCAAAAACAGGAAAATTAGAACCTACAGAGAAGCTGAAGAAATGGAACACAACACAGAGAAAAGAATGAAGCAGTCTGGACAGCTAACCAGCTCCTAGAGAGGAGAACCTGCCTCTGCTAATACAAGGTAAACCTGGGGAGGGTGGGCAGCTCTAGAGAGAAACAACAGACTAGGCCAGCAGCGGTAGCTCCAAGGAAAGTTGATGATTATTGTAAACTGCAAAAACAGTGTAGAGTTCTATTCTGAAAGGAACTGCTTTCCCCATAGCAAGCTAAATTGGAGAAGAAATCTAGTGCAGAATCCACATATTTGAGAATGTTTAATCAGGAGCCATTTTGGGAAAGGGTTAAATGTTCAGACTGAGCTATAGAACAACCACAAAACATCTACAGAGTTTCTGGAATCACCCTAGCACAGTGACTGGGTAGGAGATGATCATAAGGGACAGTCATAGAGAGAGCACAGGGTAGACACAGACCCCCTATAAGTTTAAGCTCAGGTGGGTAAGGACCCCAGCCATGTGGTTTTTGGATAAGGCTGGGTCTCAAAGTACTGGCATTAAGTCCAGCAGACTGCTTGAACCCCTGCCCCACTGTCTACATCCAGTACAGATCTCAGTCGTCTGTTTGTTCTACCCTTACCCCATCTGCCAACATGATCAGATATACACCTCAGCTTGGACAGTTGCCTCAGCCTGGAGTATATGGACAGAAGGCCCTCTGGAGGAGGGACAGCACCTCACAAACTCACAGAACTTAAGGCTAAGCAAAGAAAGCCAGGATGTGGGCCACACTGAGGGACACAGAAATTGGGAGTAGCTGGAGGGAATATAGCCTTAGGGCAGACGCCATTGACTAACCACACCCAGAAGGGTTATTTAGCCTTCACACAGTAAAATTTGAGTGTGGAAACAAAAGAGGACTTAGTAGTGACTCAGTCTCTCCCAAATCTGGTGGACTCCAATACTCCAAACCCTAGAAAGAAAGAATTCATTAAAAAACATGGAAGAATTTTTTGGATTCATTTCTCTTTTTATTGTTTTTTTGGAGGGTGGGTTCCCCCCCTTTTGCTGGTTTTTTTTTTTCAAATTCTTAATTATTCTTTTCTGTTAGTTTTATCTAACTTTATTAGTTTTCAACAGAACCCTTTATCTTACTTCTCTCTTCATCTTCTTTTTCTATTTCTCATTTTCCTCTCCCCCTCCTTCATATTTACTAGTAGTCTATTAAGCTTTATTAATCTTTAGATATTTAGTTGACTCTATTTATATACAATGGAGTACTGCTCTGCTATAAATAAGGATAAATCAGACCCAAAACAAAAACCAATAGAAACCCAAAATACAAATAAAGAGCAATATAAGACAGATAATAAGAAACAGAGAGATACATCTTTTGCAAAAGGAAAGGGGACTAAGAAATGGATGTGAGGGCGAGGGAAGGGAGAAGGGGATGAGAAAAAAATTAAGATGTGTTGTGTATAGGTACCAAGTCCTTATGAGGAATACAATCATTATGTACTGTAAACAGATACCATAAAAAAATTACGACTGGAAAAAGAAAATACCAAGGGATACATTAAAAACTATAAGAACTAATAAATTTAACAAGTGCACAGAAGATTAATATACAAAATTAGTATTTCTATGCCAGGGATTTAGCTCAGTGGTTCCAGCACCTGCTTTACAAGTGCAAGGTCCCAACTGAGTTCGATCCCTGGTACGTGCACAGAAGATTAATATACAAAATTAGTATTTCTATGCCAGGGATTTAGCTCAGTGGTTCCAGCACCTGCTTCACAAGTGCAAGGTCCCAACTGAGTTCAATCCCCGGAACCAAAAAAAAAAAAAAACAACGAAAAAATGAATTCCGTTTTCACCACCTAACAGCTGTATGACTTTGTGCCTATTTCCTCATCTGTTAATGGAAAATGTACTATACCAATTCATAAGGGATGTGTGACGATTAAGTGACTTACTGTAAATAAAGCTGTA